CCACTCTGTTGTGTGGTGGGGGCACATTGCCTTGCGCTACGTACGTCTCTCCAGAAGATTGCGGGGTGCTCTCCTACCCTCTGATCATACGCTGGCTATAAGGAGCTGGAAGATGAATACATGAAACACCTTCTTGAAAAGTATCCCTTTTGAGAATAAAAGCCTGCAATTGATGCATTTCTTAACTCTCACTGTTGAGGCAACTAAATCAACATCTTCACCAATATCTACTCCACCTCCCTCTACATCACATTCAGACCCTAAATACAAACAGTGTTCATCATATCAAGGTCAAGGAGTCCCAGTCTTTGATAAACTGCACCCACCTCCCTCACCTTCTCTGGCTGACGGCCATTTTCCCATTGCAATTATGCCCCCCCCTACCCCCCAGTCAGCTGTCTAAGTGATTCCTGAGGCCTCCTGGCCCAGAAGTTGCCCTGTAATTACTCTGCCTCATTTACTGCTGCCAATCTTGCTCACAGTTTATACAGTTTAAAGTGCAATTTTACATCGCATTCCCTCCTTTAGACTAACAAAGATTACATAACCACTATTTAGTGCACTTTAGTATTATAGATACCTATCCATTCATCAGGCGATCTTCTAACCACTTATCCAGTACGGGGCTGTTGGGGACTAGAGCCCAGGCTGGAAAACGTCCCGGCACGGGAAGTTTTGTGATGTCAATTAGTCTAGCTACGTGTCTTTGGACTGTGGAAGGAGACCCATACAACAAGCATGGCTTTATGCTAACAACCTGAAGGTCATAGGTTCAAATCCCTGGGAGCACCCATAAATTGTAACCCTCGCTGCGATGGTAAATTGCTCGGGATAGAAGTGTTAGATAACGGTGAAGTTTCTGGGGGAGACCAGGGAAGCCTTAACAGGGATATGACTCAAACTCCCACCCTCAGAAGTCTGTTTAAGTACTTTCCATCTACGAACTTTACTTCCACATCATTATCTGAAAGCTACGAAATACACCAACGGGAACCTATTTATCTACCATTGTGATACCGGGTCAGTGTGATCTCTGTGCAGTGCCTATTGTGAGAAGCACGGGACACTGAACTCCGTCACTGGAGCTTCACACTAAGGGCACTCCGAAGTCCGCTATGCACATGAATAGCACATGATTAGCTGGAGATGGCAAAGAGACACGGGACACAACAATGCTCAC